CAATAAGCTTCACTACAATAGGATTTGATTAACCAATGAACAACATCAGAACAAATTTAAAGGGGAAAATTACAGGAATTTGAGTGTCAACAAACTTTACGTAACTACAAAAAGTCGAAAATTTGCAGTAAAAGTTGATTATTGTTGATGTAATTAAACGAATATCTGAACAGAATTTTAATCAGTGATGATTTCCGCGAAGAACAATGGCTGTTAAAGGGGTGGTTGTGTCACTTATTGTAAGTGATTATTTGTATTCATCTCTCAGATATCTATCTATCCTAAGTACCGATGACAAAGTAATTACAAAATGGAAAGAAGAATTAATCGACAGTTTAAAGTAGTTCTCTTCTACCACTCCGAAATTGTATTCCTGTTTATTTTCATAAAGGAACTGACTGATTTTTAAGAACAGATTGGTGTGTCATATCAATATTCTTTTTGGATTCCATATTGTAATATAAATAAATTACACTGCGATTAAAGTCTAAATGGTTCTAGTACACACTAAGCCATTGACTGAACACTAGTCAGTAAGTAGTGTGATGTGTCTAGTCCTATCTTTGAATTCTATCAGTCAAGTTTGCGATTTGGCCACCATGCTGGTTGGCTCGCCAGCACGGCGCACTGTGAATTGTTGGTATCGGATAGTTGGATGCAATCGATAGGAAGCCTTGGACCTAGGTTTCGTGCTAGAATTCAGTCTGCACCAAAAATAGGACTAGACACATTACACTAGTTACTCACTAGTGCTCAGTCAAAAAAATCTAGTACAGTCCAAGAGGAGGTCAGTTGCGAAGCCAAATATCTCAGTGATAATGTCTCTAACTGCAGCGTTGGTGACGCGGATTCGAATATCAGAAGGAGCATGAGTTGTTTCAAAGTTGCAGATACGCCTTGGTGACTGGTCTTTGCCAACTAACACGAAGCCTATGGCCAAGGTTTCTTGCCGATAGGCTCCAACTATCTTATACCAACAATACTCTAATCGTCTTTATTTGAGGTTTCTTAATTTTGATCATCTAAGGTAGTTGGCTATACACCACTTCCACAAGACTTAATAAAATCTAAGAGGTGATTCATACAACCTCGAACTTTTAAACCTCCCTCGCATTCAACATTATATCCTAAATGTTTTAAGAATGCCTAATTACAATAATTTATTGCCATGGTTCTCGATGTCATCATCACTGACTTTATATCTGGAGGACACTTTTTCAAAACTCATTCTTGATATTACATCCGGAAGCTTCATTCAACATACAGTAAAAGTTGAAAGTGAATTCTGAATCAAAACTAATTGACCTGTAAAATTTAACACTCGTTTCTTGCGGGAATTTAAATTTGGAAGCAACACTTTTTTATTCTTCTTAAAGCGGAATTATGTCAAAAAACTGTTAAACGACAAAACTTAAAATCTCTGACAGAATAAAATTTTAAGACTTTCATAATTTGTGTCGCCTTACCTTGTGGGTATTCAAATGAGTTTTACCTGTATGAAGCGGAACTATAGGTTGACATACTCATTTATTGTCAACTTATAAGAAAACCATAACTGATAAAAATGCCCGTTAAAATTATCAAAAGAATGGATACTGAACAAAGAGTACTCTTTTCGATAAATTTGTCATCAAGCTCTACATTTATATAAACATCATAGTGAATTAATGAGTTAGTGTTCCTATCAAGTACAAAAGAAATTTAGTGAAGATCCTCAGCCACAGAGTTAGCGCTATATGCTCAGAAGAAGTAACTGAAGATGAATTAAGCATTGTATATGATACTTTGATCGAAAATGGCTATCCCGACAAATTTATCAAGAAACACATGACAAAAAAAAAGGAAAAGGACTAGTCACTATCTGTAAAAAAGAAGCCTCTTTATATACGACTAAAATTCATGGGCGAGATACCAAGTGAGATAATTGCGAAGAAATTAGGAAAATCAGCTCAAAGAACTTTTAATCCTGGCGAACTACACGTATTATTCTCTACACGACCGATGGTGATTCCTCGACTGAAAGATGAAGTGCCGAGGCTAGCCACTTCTAATTGTATCTACCAACTCAACTGCGCTTTTGGAGCCAGTTATATTGGCCGTTGCTCTAGGAACTTGATTTTTCGTGCTCGCTCGACAACATCTCCCAGCATGGCTACGTTACGGTGTAGTGGAAACTACTGACAGCTCGATATTGGAACATCTGGTCTAAACTGGCCACAAAGCCAGGGTTGAAGAATCCTTCTCTATCATATACCACGTGCCAAATAAATTGCCAAAATCATCAAAGCACTGCAGGCTCCAAACAGCAGAGGCTATTGCGATTCGCCTCAAACAACCAGTGCTCTGTGTTCAAAAGAAGCAAGTCCAGCGCCTACTATTGCCCTGGCCAGCCTTCAGTGGAAACTATAAACTCATGAATTTGTACTATTATCTTTCCTAATTCTTCCGACATTCAGCTTATTTTTTTTGATGCTATTCAGCTGTAATCTATCAATACTATTGATTCGATGTTATTTAAACATTAATGTAGTTCATAACACTAACTCATTCATTCACTATAATGTACATTAAAAATGTAGAGTCTGGTGATGAATTTATCAAAAAGAGTACTCTTTGTTCAGTATCCATTCTTTTGAAAACCATAACTCCAACTAAAAATCTGAACACAACTTACCACATTTTAGCTGTGAATAAAGATGGTGCAGCTTGTCACAAATGTCAGTTTCTTTAAACTACCCATAAAATACATTAGAACACTTTATCCTGTATATCTGACTTTTAATAAAGCAGACACTACTCCCAAATATTAGACAGTTGGTACCACTTTATTCACATTATACACTAGCCAAAAGAACAGGTCTCATAGAGTATTATGTAAAGCCGTTAAAACATGTATGTTCAGTTGCAAAAACAAAGATAAACTTACACATTTTGACGCCTTTTGCTGTTCTTAAATATAGAAGACATTATGTATGTTATGAATTTAAGATGCATACTTTTTAACTAATTCAAAAGTAGTGATTCGCAATATTATCACTTCCAATTCAACGCAAATAATAACATTCCTGATTAGTGAACAAGTAATTTAAGACCCTCATAACCTGTTCAGAATAAGGAGGATTAGAACGAACTTTTGATTTCAATAAATGTTTTCTTCAGGTTGTATAATTATCAGCCCAGTAATTTTAGCATATAATAGTAACAGTTAGGGCAAATTATGATTATATCAGAAGATTTACTTCGAACGCTTTACAGTTTCATTACCTTTCTTAAAATGTTTGTTAACCTTACACGTTTTTCATCCCAATTCATTAAAGTCCTTATCACTTGATAATCATTCAGTAATAGTACTTTTAAGTCTACTTTGCTTGAACACTACTTAGTAACTAGTGTGATGTGTATAGTCCTTTGGTCAGCGCAGACTGAATTCTGTCAGTCAATTTTGCAATGTGTCCACCATTCCAGGTGGCTCGTCATCATGGTGTATTTTTAATTTCTGATAAAACATGGTCTTAACTAAACAAAGGACTAGACACTTTACACTAGTTGCTGACTAATGTCCCATCAAAAATATTCAATACAACCCTACATGAGGTCAATCACCGGCCCAAATAGCTCAGTATTAACATCTGCGACTGTAGCATTGGGCGATGCGGATTCGAATCTAAGAAGGGATATGAGTTCCTTCAAGGTGGTAGATATGCCCTGCCAACTGGTGAGTGCCAACTAGCATCAAGCCTAGGTCTAAAGCTTTCTGCTGATAGCCTCCAGCCATCTAATATCAACAGCTTTTAGGTTTACAACACAACATCATTTTTATTTCATTGTCACTATTATTGTTATTCGTCACCCTTGAAACTAGGTCTAGCATATCCTGTTTATTTTCTACTCCTCTTTAGAATTTAGATTCTCTATCACACAGTACTGACTACACTCATCTCTTGAAAACTATACCCTTCGTGGATTATATATAGACAAATAGACCGTACTTCTGAAGAGTACTAAATTAGGACGAAACAGTTGTCCAGTACACTCAGGTTTTCCAACGGCTATCTAAATGGCGTTAGCTCGTGATGAAATCCTCCATCCAATTAAACAAAATTCCTACAAAAACCAATACTTGAAAACTAATATATTATTGAATTATTTCATATCATCATATGTTCCTACAGACGATGCATTTTACATGAATTTAAATGATAATCCACTTTGCTCTTCTACCACAAAACAGTTTCCAACATAGTTCCAACTTGCTTTTACTGGAGTTGTTGTATGCTCAAATTAATGTATGCATAATTGTAGGATCTGAACATGAGTTTATTGAAAATATTTGTTCCCAACTGGTGTGTAGCTTAGATCACTGGCCTACCTGAATTTCCATCCAATAAAATGCATTATATTTTATCTAGTTATTTTTTGTTCTAACCCTTCAGTTAATTTTTCTTAGGTCACAAAATGCACTCACACAATTGCACATTTTTAATTTGCTTTCAACCTTTTGGTGTTCATATCTCAAAGAAAAGAAGGAAAAATATCCTTAAGGTTTGGTTTGGTATACACTACAAATTGAAAGGTAGTGCGTCAAATGATGTAGTATGTAATATGATTTCACTTCAAGATCCTAGATGAAAAGAAAATATTATTCAATAAACCACCTAGAGAATCATGTGTATTGTGTAATCATTTTGTACAGAATAAAGTAATTTCCTGTCCTCATTTTAAGTTACTTTGTTATATAAAGATGGATATGAAGCATCTATATCTCGCTTCCAAAGTATATAATACGCATGATATCGTCAAAATGGCCTATAAACTGTACAACATTATTTACAAAGGTACAATGATTGTATTTAACTTGTTTAATTAGATTTGTTCCTTCGTTCGGATTCAGTTAAACTGACTGGATCTCACGAACTGTCTTATTAGACTTAAATGTATGGGATCTAATGCATCTACACAGTTTAATTACTTTTAATTATGAAAAAAGATAGAACAAGTGATTGTAAAGATAAACTTTTTATGTTTAGTAAATATATATATATCTCACATGTACAAAAGAAGAAAAAGGACATTTTCATGATTTATGTTATCCATATTTAAATAACAAAACTAGCATTTCATCAACACGTAAAAGAATACACCGAGATGTTTCAAAAGCTACAGAACTAAACAAAAAACAATCGAAAAAAAGACAAACAAACATTTATTTACTGATAATTTGAACTTACCAGTCAAAATGTTTACCAACAATACAATGCCAGTGTGTACGATGACGTGAATCGAAACGAGATTTAACATATGATGCAACTTCTCGTTCTTCTGTAAAACGATTCATAGCTTTGTGCAATACTTTTATGGCATACTTTTGCATATCATCATGCATGTAACATCGTACAACAGTTATATCCGATCGTTTTATGTGAGGCATAGTAGGTGAAATAGCAAACTGAGAACTGTATACGGACAGTAAGCGTATATATATGTATATATTGGATTATACAGTTATCAGGTCAAAGTAACTAACAAACCAAAGCAATGAGTCGGTTTCAGAAGAAGAAAATATATTGATTAGTGAGTTCTTTACTAATGTATCACTGGAAAAAGAAAAGTAATACTCTTACTTTCAAAACAGTTACTATAGGTCAAGTAGATTCCTTTACAAAAATAAAAACTAAAGACAAGGTGTTTATTTTAAGCTAAATAGAGTATTTTATTAAAGTATTCTTACTGACCAAGAAATATAACATTGGAACAAGCTCATTAGTCTTCACCAGTATTGATTTTTAAATGTTGCAGATTAATGATGTGAAAGTCAAAATCTCAGTGTATGTTTTTGTAAATGTAAACGTCCTAACAGTTTATTAGAGACGTCATTTCCTTCAGTTAGACGTTAACTAATCTTAGTATAGTACAGTACTACTGGACAGCCCCAACGAAAAAGGCGAAATAACATCTAAATGTTGACGCAGTTTGTGTTCTACTTGAAAAGGAGACTTAAGCGATGTTATCTGAGTAAGACGGCCAGCTTTCACTTGAAAATAGTTAATTATCAAAAAATCCAGTGTAGATTTGAAATGCTGCTTACAAATAAAAGCTGAATAAGACAAAAAAACAGTGAGGTGACCATTATTATGTGTCAAGACATGTGTCGCATAAATTCACACACTATAATTTATCAATATTTTCAATATGTTTTCTGGAATCCGTTTGGAGGGATTTGACTGGACAGAAGTTTGATCACTAGCGTACATCAGTTAGAGAATCATAAAAAGACCAGCGAGCACTGGACAGCTCTTTCGTCCTGATTTGGGACTCTTCAATGGCTTGCAAACACATATATTGGAATCCAGGACTCTCCAGATACAAAATGAGCTCGTAGACTATTCAGTCATTGGGAACTGATAAAATGAATGTTCATGAATTCCAAATTCTGTCAATTCATGATTTATGTAAGAGGAGGTTGAACGATGATATTTATTGGTGGCTGCGCAATGTATCTCACTAAAAACGAATTGGAATTCATGAGCTACTGGATGCGGTCCCAGTGTCTGAATGGTCTGTGAGCCCGCCTTGTAACAGGAAAATTCAGGGTTTGAACCCTGGTGGGTGTATATTGATCAAGAGTCCCAAACTACGATGATATAAATAGCTTATGATAAATTTCCAGTATAAAATAATCCCATTCTATTTCACAAATTCTCATCAGCTGAGCTGACGAATTTGTATGCGCTTGCAGTAGCAGGTACATTTTTTTTCCTTCATGTTCCCCAGTGGAACATAGGGCCTCAAGCTAGTAGCTTGAAGTTTCTGTAGCAGTGTTTATTTTACAGGATGGGGTTGCTAGCCTCATGCCCAACCTTTCCTCTTTACCAGCATTATTTATGGCTTAGCGAGGTTGGGGAGTGCGTCGGCCGGGGTTCGAACCCTGAACCATGTGCATGGTCAGCGAGCGTCCTAACCGCAGGTATATTGCTAGGACAGAAAGAAAAGATTCCGTTCGGTTTTCTGAGCACATTCCAAAAAGTTTATGTCCAAAAGGAAGCAGATACATACAAAGTTCAACTACTTGACACCTTTAATATACAGAGCCTTTTACTGAAATCCACAAATTGCTTAAAATTTAAAATTAGTAAATGGAACCAAAATTTTGATGATTCGTTTAAACGATTAAAATAAAACATTTTCAAGCAAACTTATTCTTCATTAAAAGAGAGTGTGTGATCAGTCTGTCACCAGGATTTTACAGCGTTAACTTTGGATCAAGTTATATCATCGCTCAAGTTTATGTATAGGTCATTTGATATAACTGGAGGATTAAAACAATGATAAGTCCAGATAAAATTAAGCATTTTGGAGGAAAGTAATTTCGGCAACCCAATGATGAGAAATCACAAGAATTCACAGTCCAAGCATACTGGTAATCAGATAGAAACTACAGATGTGTACAGAAGAAACCGTGACTAATCAACCATATATTCTTACTTGAATAAAATTAGGTGTTTTGTGTATTTATTTGAACTGTTCCTTCAAGGCCTAAGTGAGTTCTTAAACGATTTAATAAAGTGATCACGAAATTGAAATCACTTCTTCAATGCTCCGGATACTATTTACTTTGATTTCTACATTTCTATTTAAAGCAAAAAGGTTCGTTTACTGTACTCTGTGTGACTTGTTTCTATCTTTGTTTTGGTTGACTCAAACATACAGGTAAAAAGACAGCAATTGTGTTGTACTTTTAGATTTATCTTTGCAAATCATGAAAGGGAAGTTAAAAATCATCCATTCAAGCGATCAGGTGAATGAGTCTTCTGAGTTGGCATTTTTAAATCAGTGTTTCTTCGTATAACACCTGTATACTTATTTTAACTATTACTAATCCAAATTTGTGGTGTTTATTTTGCAGTATAAACTCAGTACTATTTCTTTTATGATTTGTGAGTTTAATTTGAAAATGTAAAAATGGATATGAATATTCCACTTTAGTCCATTTTGATTGTACACTCAAAGAGTGAGAAATCTGTCTGTCTTGGTTATTAACGATGATATATTAGTAATGGGTATTAGTTTAATGCTATGTTGAGTTATTTTGCTAATATCACTGAATGTAAAACGCTTCAATTGTTTTAAGTGGATAATTGAGCATAAATAAATTGAAAACAATAATAATAATATGGAATTCCCACATAATATGATAATGGCAGAAAGAATATTGCATTCCGACAGTTGACCCTTAGAACCTCATTTAACAGATGAAGTAATCACTCTGATCAAAGTGAATTGTCCCTATGTAAAAGGATTTGTCAATATATCTTTATTTTAAAACAACTATAGTAAATCAAGATTTGCTTGCATCAAGGCAGTAAATTCATTTGATTAGTCTCCTTCAGATAAACTGTTGTATTTAGAAATTTCATACAATGATTCCCTTTTATAAATTTGAAAAAAGAAAGAAGAAACATTGGCGCTGAATAATCTGGATCCACCGGCGTACAACCTGCATTCTTCAATAAAATAAAAAAGTGTACAATTTTAACAAATTTTTGTCCATTAGCAAGCATACTGCCCGAGCGTCATAGTGAATTTCAACAGCTTCTGTCCAGTGAGATACAAACGAATGCTAATGAAACGCTTTTCTCAAGAGCGGAGAGAATATGTTTACCAAACAAACTAGACAGTGAACTAATGCTTCTTGAAAAATGCTTGGAAGAAAATGGTTACCCACAAATTTTCATTAACAGATAGGACAAGAATGAACTCAAGAAGCTTGATACAGCTACAGTCAGTAAGAAGCCTATTTTCATCAAACTTGACCACAATGGCGACGACCTTATGAGAACGCTTAATAAAAGATTAAGCGCAGCCCTGTCTAGGACGTATCGTGCAGCGTTATTAGTCTCTCTATCCCGAACAAACTCTTCACTGGTGTAGTCAATGATTGACAAGTACCCCTCATATGTTACCTCCAACTGTGTATACCATTTGACATGTATCTGCGGGAAAAGTTACATTAGAAGAACAGAGAGGAGGGCCTACATCAGATTCTGCGAACATGTACCAAGGAGCCTCTGGTTAAAGGGACCGAACTGTCTAAGCTCTTCAATCACCAAACAGCTGACTGACATAGGACACCGAGTAGATGTGCTGGAATCATTCAAAATAATTGACAGACAAAGTACCTCAAGTCTTCTCAGGTTTTCTGAAGCGACAGCGATAAAACGATTGAAGCCTGATTTATGTGTCCAAAAAGAATCCGTTGTCAGACTTCTATTACCCTGGTGACTCACTTCTTAGTAACTCTTAGTTTTCTAATTTTGTTAATTTTGTTAGCTTATCTTCTCACGCCACCTCCCCCTTTATTTTTCGCATGACTCTCTTAAGAGATAATTTTTCTTGATCATCTGAGTTCTGCTCACTGTAGTACATCATCAACTTCTCATCTGACCTGATTTGCACTGAAATGTTGTCCTTCTCTCATCTAATCACGTAACTATTACTAATTTTCTTTTGTTACCACCCCAACAACACAACTGTCAATTAATTTTTTTCAAGAAACTTCTCTCTAACAAGATATATGTATATGTCGTAACACTTTAGACACCCTGCAAATCGCAACGCTTTATTATACTATGACGCTCTGACAATGTGCTTGCTAATGGACAAAGGTTTGTTAAAATTGTACACTTTTTTATTTTATTGAATAATTCAGGTTTACGCCGCTGATGAGAACCGACGAAATAAAATGGATCCAGATTATTCAGCGCCAATGTTTCTTCTTTCTTTGATCGTATTTAGAAATACTGGCAAAGTTATACGATCATACCCAAAAAGTAAGAGTGACCTTGAATAACAAATCAGAAATGAGATGCGAAAAGATAACATATTCCTTAGATAATCCATTAATAAACATTGCAAAATTATTGTACTTGGTAATCGTCCCTTACGTGTTGTAAGAAAGTTTGCGAGAAGAAAAGATGTTGACTTTTATGCAGAGCATGATATATACAAAGGCAAACGGTTATCCTCCAACCCTTACAGTACTTGTTTCTCCTCTAAGACCAAAAAAAATCAAAACATCAGATTGGTCGTGCAAAATACGAGATTTATTTCGGAATCAGAAACGTAGTGTGATAATGATTGCTTAACTAGCCAGAGATGGTGAATGAACGACCGGATTTAACACGACAGCGTGCCACATAGTGTGAATGCTTGACTGCGAACGTTCAGCTTAACAAGTCAGCAGTGAGCCTTAAAACTTAACTCTACCTAACAGTATAGATTTACAGAAGTATCTAGAGAATAAGTAGAATGCTTTACCTACCTTTAGTACACCTATAACGTTAGGCTTTATTTCATTTGGAATGACCATTCGTAGCGTTCCTAAACCTAGAGTGGACATTAATTACTATCTAGTGTCCAATCAAAGTATCCAATACAGTTCTACAGGTGGTCAATGACGAATCCAAATATCTCAGTGATAATGCTTCTGACTGTATCACTGGGTGACCCAAGTTTGAATCTCAGAATGGAAATGAGTATCTTCTAGATTGTAGATATGCCTTGCTGACTGTTAAATGCCAACTAGCACGAAACTTTAGTCGAGGACTTCTTGAGAAGTGC